ACTCTCCCCAGACTGGTCTGTATATTTTTCTGAAAACCCCTTGTCCCCACAAGCCCCTACTTCAGGATATGTGTGTATGTGTCATCTCTATAGGTGATTACTGGGCGTATTATGGTTTTATAAATTATAACCTTTGAAGCTTAACATCTTGCTAATTCCATAGTTGCAACAATTTTCTGCTGTTATTCTAGCTTCAATTTCTTTATGTTAATTTTTTCTGGTCACGAAGGACCAAATGTATTTGAAGGCCTCGCATATTAAAAAATTGTGAACGCAAATATCATTATAGTAATAGTCTTGATGGAGGATTTTGTGCGCTCCTCATTTACTCTGTTTTTTTTTCTCATTGATGTAAAGTCCTCTTTTATTACTTCATGTTCCAACTCTTCTAACGTCCCAATCAGTGCAGGAAGCGTCCTTGCTACCAGGTGAACATTGTCCGTGTAGGCCAATACCTGTGTGTATCTATAGTAGATTGTGTCACGAGAATTGTTCCTCGCATTGCGCCCTAATGATATTCTTGTCAAAGTCCATTATTAATTGGAAAACTCTGTCCAAGTGTGTCCTATGATTTGATGTCGCATTGAGATCCGCTCATGACCATACATACCATGCTTACTATCTTTTTGGTCCAAATCTATGTAAATCATGTCGTAGATGTAATCCATCGACACAGTCGTAGGTCTGCCAGAAATTTATGAAGAGATAGTGCAGTTTAATGTTAAATTCATAGCTCTTTTGATATATCTGCTTTAAAGCAAAAATTTAGTCAGGTGTCAACCTTCCTTGCCTGAAACCGCTTTGGTAGTAACTGACAATTCTCTGGATGTGTGCCTACAATTTCCTGCAGATTAAAGACGATATAACTTTATACGTAACACTAAGGAGGGCCTATGCCTCTATAATTGTCACATTATAGTCTGACACCATTCTTGTAGATGGGACATAAAATCAGCTGACATCCTTTCAGTCATCCATACATCGAAAATTATTTCACACAGCTTACTGAGTACTGTATCTCCACCATACTTCAACAGTTCCATTAGTATAGTCAACCCCAGGAACTTAATAATTTTCCATTCTGAGGAGAAGCTCCATGACCTCTTCCTTCTCAGGAGGTGCTTCTATGTTATCTCCATAGTCATTGTCTAATGACTGATCCAGATCGAGGTCCTGGAGATTTTTATTACTCTCTCCTTCTTCCTTGTTCAGCAGGCTCTGAAAATGCTGAGTCCACCCATTCATTATAAAGCTCTGATTCGTGAGAAAGTTGCCATTCTCATCCTTTATGAATTCTTATTTTGGCTTGAATCCTTGTTTAATGTTCCTTACAGCCCTGAAGAATGTTCGCATATTGTTATCTTCATATTGGCGTTTTATGTCCATATATTTCTCATTCTTATAATATCATCTCTTACTACGTCACCAAGAAGTACAATCTCCCTTTATTTAGATTGCAATTTACAACTACCACAAACCTACAACAGGTCTTTTTAAATTAATATTGGGGCCATAGATTCCAGGTATAGACATTTGTCTGTTAAGCTTGTTCAACAAACACCCAGTGGATTCTTTTCAGTTGAGATTGGGATCTTGCTATATTCAGAGTTCCATCAACAGTTTGATCATGAGATCTTGTTTCTAACCATAATATAGTTTTTGGATTAACCTGATGGTCTCCATATTGCATTTTAAATATCACAGGTATTTATTCTTGATATTTTGACCATATTCATGCTCATTCAGAATATACGATTGGCAGGAGAATTAAGGTCACATCATAGTTCTTAAAGTAGCCTAGTGTTGACACTTATGTTCATGGGTGGTCTTGCTATTGTCGCTCAAGGAAAACATAATTCTCTAATAGGGCTCATTTCATTTAATACCTTAATTCTAATTGTGAACTGGTGGCATTTATTTTTTAAAATAAAATGTTCTAAGAGGGCAGTGCATGTCAAATATTTAAATCACTGTACTATGAATAATATATTATATAGATATTTTTATTTTTTACACAATAATCATGCGATTTGATTAATGGTTAAGAGAATGATTTAATTCATTTCCAGAACTTCATATCAGGCCAGAAACAACCAAATTAGATAATATGCCTTTTGATCCTAATGTTGAAATCCCGAAAAAGAGAAGAGCTAAAGGAGAGCAGCGTCCTTGTTGTCAAGAAAATATTTCATTAAGTCAACAGGTATTTTATATTATCTCTATATTTATTCTAGAATAGTTACTAAGATGAATTCAGATTGACTAATGCAAAATAAGCTCAGTTCATTGTAATTTTTAGTGTACTTACAGTTGGTTTTTTTTGCCATCCCTCCTTTTTTTTCCTCCCCTTTTAGATTATAAGGAGATTTTTCTGGACTAGATGATTAATACCAGAGTTTAAAGCCCCCCTGGCCAGCACCGGGACGCGAACTCGTAATTATTTTTTAACAGGTAAACTTTGGTTTATCAAGTGGTTGGTTGCCAGGCAATGCATGTTTTGCGCAGGTGTTAGCCTGCTCGCCCATCCCGCTCTCCTATTTACAGTTGGTATAAAACCATATGAAGTATGAATAACTTCAGGAAAGGTTTTTCAAATAAAGAAAAGAAATATATTGAATATGTAGAGATGACCATCAGTGTACCAAAGCCATTACTGGTTTCATGTTGCTATTCAAGATCTGGCATATTCAGTAAACCCTTGTTATTACGAACTGGAATACAATGAACTCCTCGTTAAAGCAAACCAAAATTGAATCCTCTAAAAATTTACATTTGTTTTCCTATAGCACCTCTGCTTTAACAGTTTTTTATATATTTTTAATTTCACATGGTAATTAAATATTTTGTTTGACCAAGTAAATTCAAACAGGTATATCTCATTTTTATTAAAATTAAATATTGAGTAATATGTTAAGTTAAAAGTTGTTATGCATATAATAATTTATAAAAACATTATAGGACACTCGATCGGATTGAAATCATCAATATAAGAAATTATTTCAAATCTAAATTTATATTTTATTTCAAAAAGAAGTAGCTTGGATGTGTGGTTAGGAAAGAAAAACACAGATGTAAGTAAAGTAAATTTATTAGAGTGTGTGCCGTTTTGGCCTTCATGTGGGTGACAAGTGAAGTTGGAGAAAATCCTGAGAAGATAATAATTTACTTATCGGCCAGATAAAAATCCTTTAAGAAAATCAAGTATTAAATTTTGGTATACTTGATTTCCATCAAAGTTCTTATTTAAGAGGTTTAACGGACAAGCTAACTTGCTTTTTCATAAAAAAAAATCATTTGGACTATTTTTTGGTCTTTCTCATTCAATACAATAGTCAACATTTTTTTCTTATTCTGCACAAAAAAAGAAATAGATTTATATATATCCTAAAAATCCGGGCAAAGCAAAGGCAAAACTAATCACAAATTTCGTCTGAAATTATAAAAAATGTGTTTTTTTCCGGCTCATAGGGCCCTTTGGTACCAATGCTGGATTATGTGTCCAAAATTTTTCGATTTAGTCACAAAAAAACTGGTTGAAATCGGTGACCTACTGACTGTAGCCTCTCCTTGTTAGACCATAAAGTCACCAGTTATTTAATAAGTTTACTTATTTATGTTTTTCTTTCCTGACCGCATGTCTTAATTAACTTCACCTAGAATTAAATCAAACCTTGGAAATTTAACAATACTTTTCTAATTTTTAAATTCTTTTTAGAGAAAATAACTACGAGTTCCAAGAATAGAGATAATCAGTTTACTTAAGGTAGTTCGCAGCTGAAAAGTTGTCTCCATGTCTTACATATTAAAATAACAAGATTGCCTAGTAGGTTTGTATTTTATAATAAATTCTAAATTTACATATCAGAAGAGTGATTATTATTAATACGCAGTTTTTGTTTTAGCCTCACTTGAAGAAAAAAATATATGCTGTTATTACATTTTTTAAATTAATAAATCTTTTTATTTTATAAAATAACCCTTCTTTCATGACATATGAAAAATTATGAGGTACAAACAGAAATCTCATTTATTAATAATAATTTAAAGATATTGTTTGAACGGACTTGCTCATTGACTGACAAAGTGGTTAAAAATTTACTAAATGTTGCCCTACAAATTTATTCCATGTATCATATATATATTATATTTCATTATAAAATAACTACGGCAAAGCCATATACAGAAATTTAAACTCGAACAACAGCTGAAAAGCTTAATATAATTTGAAATGATTAAATCTGATGTATGTAACTGGGACTTACAATTGATCTATTCTTTCAATATTTCATTGATTTAGATAAAATGATTTGTAGTTACGTTAAGATTAAATGATGAATGAACAATATAATTAGCGAACACTATTTTGTGTATTATGAAGAAAAGTTGATTTTTTTTTTTTTTTTTTTTTAACCAGACAGAAAGAGGTCCAAAAAATATTAAGATAATCTGGCAATTCTTTAGGATTATTAAATTATTACTGCTTTAGATCCATCACCACTGATATAGAGTGCTTTAATCCTAATCTTTTAACATTTCTTCCATAAATTCTGTTCCCACAGCTCTGCCTGAAATATGTGGGCTGTTTTTTTTCCCCGCCTGAAAATATATCTAAAGCTCATCTATATGATAAGACGAAAACAATATGTTTTACAAAATACAGAAAGTTGATTAACTCTACTGGTCTTCAATTTTGCAGTGATAAAACATTTGGGCTCTTTCAGAATTGTAATAATCGGGGCTGTATTAAAACAAGGTTCAACAGGAAAGGAAATAGTTAATGCTAAATATCAAAACTTATAACTTATTTCAAAACCCATGGGAACAGCAACTAAAAATCAACAGATTGTAACATAGTTTTTTCATTTATATCTTATGTAGGTTTTTTATGAGGTTTTCCTATTGTAAAAAGTGGATTTAAATTTTCTAAGTAGCATTCAAACCACTAGTATGTCATGTGTAAGGTTACTGCAACCATAAACATGTAATTTATCATTATGACATGATGTATTGTATATAAACAAAATCAACTCATTAAGAATTTAGTGAAGTAAGACATATTTATTAATTATTGACATCAATATCATGATAAAACCACATTACCATTAAAGATCCATGAAGTTAAATTACAACGGCATATATTTAAGAGAAATATAAGTTTTAAAACGAATGTAAAAAAAATTTTGTTGAAAATTATTAAATTATCTTCTCCCTTTTCCTTTTTTCTTGCTTGTTCCACCCTGACTCTGCTCAGTCGTATGCTTCCCACCCTGGCGTGTTTTCAACTTCGGAATCATTGAACAAGCATGAAGTATTACGGATTCTCCTAAAAAATTGAAGATGATTAAACATAAGAAGATAATGTGAATACTAAACTGAATAAAACTATAATACCATAACAGTAATAATGTTAATTTTAATGGCAACATCGAATACTTACGAATTCTTTAGAACATAGATTATTTCTATAAAATCAAAGTTATATTTCTCATTTATCAGTGTTGATTAAACGAAACTGTTTCAAAGAATAAATATACTACAAAAAAGCAAACTAATACTATAAACTAATAGTATCGACGATGATGTGGGAACTTAAATATATTTTGTAAAATAATAGTAAATAGAATCAGTCTAGTACAGAAAAATTGAAATAATGTCAACATAGAATATTGCAGATAAACTCATAATAGGGCATAAGTATCTGCTAGGTGCAGAAGGTGGAAGATAGCCACTTTCCGACAATCTGCTACAGGAATCATAAAAATATACTTGGCCTACTTCATAAGATCAAAAAGAGCCGGAGCACTTTTAAAATTTTACAGAAGAGGTAGAAAGGGTACTGGAACCTATCAATATAACCAAATAAACAAAATATAACCAAAAGGAAAGGCCAGAAAGAAGTGGAGTTCTTTAGAGAAGGGTGTCGAGTCTGAGAGATTCTTTTGGAGAAGTTGGAAGTAGAATCAGCGAATAGGAATGAAACTTAGTGCTTGGATAGCTTGAAAGGTGGAGAGTAGAGTCTAACTTGTTCTGCAAGGAACCGAGTAACAAAACCTGAGAGCAGGAGGATGAGGCATAGCCCACCAAGTGCGTACAATCAGTCATTAACCACTTGATTCGTAAGATTCATTACGAATGTAGTCAAGTAATATCTGCGTTGGCAATCCATAAAATATTAGAGTAATTATGCTCACATCAGTATCCTCAATTCTATATTCTTAAATGTAATTAAAATGTTTAAATAACATATAGTACCTTTTCTGATTTAAAATTTGATTTTTAGCCTTTTTTTCTAGCATGCCACAATTTAGATTAAATATGTAAATCGATAACATAAGAGCTTTGGAAAAGAAATCTGATATGAACTAAAACTCAAGCAAGTAAATCACAACAGAAGTGTCTGTAGTATCTAGCCATTCTTAATTATATTAAATAGATAAGCAGTACATTTTTAAACAGATCGGTTCCCTTCTGAAAATGATAAATATAAAATACAATACTATCCATATAAAATACACTTATATGCCATTGCTTGACCTCTATTTGCCTTTATAAGAGTAGATTGACAAAAACATAACACCAGAGGTGACCAGAAGGATGTTTTGTGACACAAGTTGCGCCATCAAAATTTTTGAGGGGACATATTTTGATGAGGTTTTCAATTTTTGAGGGAGGCACATTTTGAAGAGGTTTAAATTTCAGTATGAAGGAGGGAACAGGAGAGAAAAGAGGGACCAGACCACAGCAAGTAAGTGTAATATGATCTACATTTTTCTAATTCTACTTTCGCTAGCACTGTTTTAAGAAGAGAAGGGCAATCAAATTTCTTGGGAGGGTGAAGGGAGTTCATGCGCCATCGATCTTGGGGAGAATAGGCTCCCCTGCTTTACGCTATATAAATAAATGTATTTTTACCATAGTTCTATAAGTTTAAATAACATATGGTTAACCCAAATGATATGATGAAACAGGCGACTGCTAAATTTTTAATAATAAATGGGGCATACTATGCATTAAAAAAAAAAAGACAAAACCAAGTGATAAGATCATAAAAAGTTAAACATTTATGGATAAATATGTTAGTTGGGTTGCGAATTAACAGTGGCATTAAAGTCATGATGCAATAGTAAAATTATGAGAAATGCAAGAGAAAATAAGAAATAATCTAGATTTTTTCAAGGAAATGATTAATCTTATCTTATTTAAACATCAAGAAATGATTTTTTTAACCACTACATAATGAAAGGAGAAAGACTGTCCTATATATTACTTCTTTGACAAGCATTTTATTAAATACAATAGTTCTAATGAAATAACAAGAATTGTATTTTATTTTTGGATAAAATCATGATAAAGTGAGAAAAGGGAAAAAAACATTTAGATAACTTGATAATGAGCCAATGGGGCTCAAACATAGTTTGTTGATGTTTAAGTAATAAGGGTAATTATTTCCTTTAAAAACTCAATATCAATTAAAGATATACATTGAAAAATACAACTATTGTTAATAATAAACAATTAATTATTTACTTATCATTAATGGCACTGACCAATAGATGTGATCTGGTTGGACCAAATTGTTATTATTGGTTAATAAACTAAAAAAAAAAAAAAAATGTGTATGCACCTTTTAAATAATCTGATGAAACCACACATTTAACTTGCAGATTACTTTTTTGGTTTCTGGTATTCTACTAAAGTGACCACCAACTAGCGATAATATAGTTAAACAAGAACTTTCAAAATAAATTTCTTATATTCAAGTAGTTGAATAAAGGTTATTGGAGGTTTTAATTTAATGCAGAAATGGTCAATGTAACGAAAAAAAACAACAACTAATTTTAATGTAATGTAAGACAAGTTTATCAAATAATTTCTGAAAACTGTTCAGTTCAGACAGGCAGTGGATGAAAGTATGTATACAGACATTGGCGGTATGTACAATGAACTTTTCGATTCCAAAGCCTTTTAACTCAATGCACTGTTTTTTACATCATCTTTGAACAATAGTGGAAGGTAACCTGAAGATGGGTGTAGACCCAGGGAGGCGCTTCCCTGCTGAAAGGGATATGTGTAAAAAGACTTTAGCAGAGGCCATGGCTCTTCAAGAAGTGTACAGCCCAGAAATGAAAGCACTTTTACTGTCATAAATGGAATGATATAGGGATATCACAAAACAAGAGCGTTGTCTTGGAAATTTACAGTAATAAATCCGGAAAAGTAATAGCATTTCTGAACTAGCATAAATTTGATAAACAAAAAAAAAAAACTGTACCCCCAACAACCTATGAAGGATTATGGGTTCAGTACAATGTGAGGAAGTACTGTTATAACGCTGGCACAATGGTTGTGCAGGGAGGTAAAGGGCCAATATCACTCTCAACCGCTAGTTTTTCCCTCTTAATTAATTATTCTATTAAGAGCAGCCACTTTATAGAGGCTGGGTTTGCCCCAAGAGGGTCTCCCGGTTGATCAAAAATTACAAGTCATCAGCCGGATTCGAACCTGGGAACTTGAGCTCTGGAAGCAGTGCTCACCAACAAAGCTACCCCACTCCTCATAAATTTGATAAGAGGATTATAATAATTTTTATTTATCATTTCCTTTGTATGTATTTTATTTTAACTTATTTTAAACTTAACCAGCTAAATATTTTAATAATATTACTTTATTGATTGGGTCCTCATGACCTAGATGTTTTGCATTTTAAATCATCAAAACTACCAACCAAAAAATAATTGTAACTTACTGGTAGCGAAATCTGGATTTAGTGGAGTACCATTGTCGTTTTTCAACTGAACTCTTATTCGACCTCTGTAAAGAAGCTCTTTACTTTTTTCTCTACTGTAAAGTTTGTTTTCAACACCTACTTTCAAACCAGCTGCTGATAACACATCCCTTATTTCTTGGTATGTCGGATTTTCTATTGCTTTATCTTTTGCAATAATTCTACCCTCAGCACGGGTCTTTTTGCTGTTCAAATATGCTGGATATATGCAAATCCATCTACAAAAGGATCATCATAAAGAATTAAAAGTATCAGTTGCTAGGTATTCGTTACTTATCTTAAAGAAGGCCAAAATTTATTATCAGACCTCTCTCTGTCACTGTGCTTTTTGTCTGGGCTCCATGGTGTCGTCATTTTAAAATTACAATGAGGGACACTGAATTTGAACCATAACAACGCTGCTGAAGGTTACTGCAAGGTTTACTTACACGTCAAGGTAATCGATTTGGTTTATTCACTAAAATCCCGAATTCCTTCTTCGTTGCTGAATGGTATTGAAGTACTAAGTTAAATTCATACTCGAGGAAGGATTCACATTTCTATGACGTTAAATGTATATGTAAACAAATTAAGTGTAATTAATATTAATACAATATACAATATTAATCTATTGACATTGTTATTAAGTTAGAGATATTTATTTTTGTTACTTACATATTACACCAAACACTTTAGTTATAGTTTAGCTGTCAATAATTTCAAAAATTAACGTAATGTGATGAGAATAAACCGTTATTTTTGAACTTTCCTGGTTACTGGTACTGAGTAAGCAATATCTTTTTTGATCTACTTAGATTAAAGAAAAAGAAATATAATCTTGCTCATGATAATTACGAGGAAAAGCCAATGCTAGAGGGGGAGGCAGCTATGGAGCCTAACCTACGAAGTTTTGTTTTAAACTCTAGGTGTTATTATTTTAACTTCTAAATTTTTAGGGGCGGGGTGGCAGAACGGGCTAACGCATGTGCACAGCACCACCTTTGCACGATAACCTGATATATGAGATAATTTCATTAAATTAATTATAAGTTCGTGTCCCGGTGCCGAGGGGAGTCTTTTAACTCTGCCATTAATCTCCGCCCCTACCCCTTGGCCCCAGAAAACCATTATGTAGTCTAAAAGACGAGGATGGGAAGGACAAAAAAAAAACAAAAAAAAAAAACAACTTCTAAATATACATTTAAATCAAGTATAGATAACTTCATTCGAAGCATAAACTTCACAATACATTGTCGACAAGGACTCTAGATTTTTGGCACCAGAGAGGAAAAAAATACTGTATCCTATTATCAGAATGAAGATGACCGGCTGCTGGACAAACTAGAAGATACCACCGAATGCATCCAAAATTTGACGGTTACTATAACCAGAAGACAGATGAATAAATTTTTGAGGTTTTGTATATGAAATAGGGTGAAACGAAATGGAAATTGAATGACATTGTCGAATTCTCAAATTAGGTCTGATCGAATAGTGGCGCTCGCCACAAGCGGATCTACGAGAGTGGGGGCTTTCGAAAAGGCTTCGATTTGAAGTCC